GAGCATGATTCACGAGATAGACGTAGTTGTGTATACATGCTCGGAGATGTTGATGTTCGGCAGGCTGATGTGTAGGGTGGTTGGTCCGTCCTTTTCATTGCTTTATTTGCCTATACTTTCTTTGCTTCTTTGATCTTGTACTTATTGTCGTGCTTCCACGGTGCAGGTGTAGAAATGGCAAGTGAAGAGGAAATCATACATCCGATGAAGGAGAATCGTCAAAGAGAGAACCGGGATGGCGTGCCACCACAGGTCTGTCCCGAGGTAGTTCCTCCTCTGAGGTCTTTCGAGAGGGCATCTCATCGCCAAAAAAGAGCTCGGCGACAAGGGAATGACGACAAGGATGTTGTGGTTATGGATCCCGAGGAAGCTCACCAGGTTGCCTTCACTACATGAGTTATGGTGGGGAGCAGTAACTCTGATATACATGTGCCGCACTGGATGGTCTGCAACCAGGATGAGATAGAGACCCCCGGGGTTCCCGAGCAGCTACTCCGCGGGATGATAATGGCCTACATCATCGAAGAGGCTGGGAATACTGGGAGCAGCACCTTGGAGTGCTCACTTATTCGGGCTGCAGCTCAGGTAAGTTTGTACCTGCCTTCGTTGTTTTAAACATGTTTCCTCGTACTAACAATGCTTCTTGTGTCCGTAGAATGCATGCTCGGCCATTGCCGTGGTTGATCACCTTCGTGAGTTGTGGCGATGGTATGAGAAGGATCATTCTGAGTACCTGTAGGTGAAGGCCCAACTGGCTGAGCTTCAGGCGGCTAGGGAGCGATCCACTACACTAGAGAAGGAGGTGGCCGAGCTGAGGCTCGGTTGGCCAAGGAAGTGGAGTTGATCTGTGGCTTGAAGCAGGAGATTACCGAACTAAAAGCAGAGAAGGAACGGCTGAAGCAAGAGGCCATCGAGGAGGTAGTGGCGCAGTACAAGGGCTCAGTGGAGCTTCGGCAGGACATGGATCAGTGTGCTTCAGCTTCCTTCGAGGTTGGGTTCAATGTCTTTCGACGGAGAGCACTGCACCACTGTCCCGAGCTAGCCAATGTTGCATAGACTTGGGAGGCCTACGATGATGAAACGCCCCCGGCCTTGAATGAACTTGTTGAGGAGGAGGGTGGAGGTGGTGATGACGATGAAGATGGTGGTGATGAGGCTGCTAATCTCCTTTCCGCGGATTGAACTACTGCGGGTTCCTTTCTCTTCTTTTTTTTGTTCCTGTAATGGCTCGGTATGCTGAACTTTCACCTGCTATACTAGCTATTTAACTTAATGAAATTTTCTGGTTCTAAACTTGTGTGCAATATTTTTTTTCTCTTTCTATTTTGGTTGAGTTGGCCGAGATCTTCAGCCTCCGACTGGTGAAGCGGGAGTGTATTTCGAGCTCTCATCTTTGGGATGCTCAATTTCCGGTCTCGGGAGCCTTTGGGGCCCTTCGAGGGCTAGCCGTTGCCCGGCTAGCTTTGACCGATTTAGTCAGTAGGTGAATGGAGTTTGATTGACTGTCCTCAGGCCTTTGATGGGTGGGGGTGTTCTTCTCCACTTTAGGCTCAAGCAATGAGCAGCAGAGTCAAGTTGGTCGGCAATATGCTACCGAGCTATGCATTGTGGGATCGGGCCGTTCGGAGGTCAACCAAGTCAAGTTGGTCGGAAATACGCTGCTGATCTATGCGTTGTGGGCTCGGGCCGTACAGAGGTCAGCCAAGTCAGGTTGGTCAAAATTACGCTGCCGAGCTATGCGTTGTGGGCTCGGGCCGTTCAAAGGTCAGTCGAGTCAGTAAGTTATACCGAGCTACACATGTGTTGCGTGGTCGCGTACCGCAGTCGTGTAGCTCGATTTTGTAGCATTATCGTATAGCTCGGTCTTGTAGCTCGATGCTCATGCAATGGTATGTGTGTGTGTTGTGTGGTGTGCGTGCATGTGGTGTATTGGGCAATCAACACTTTGCTTGAACAAGGTGCTCTTTATTATCATCGAATCATTGATAGTACATTCGAAGGATTCCTGTGTTCCAACTCCTCAATATTGGTTAGTCATCAAGGTTATCGAGCCTGTAGGTAACCGGACCAAGAACCTTGGTGACTCTATATGGCCCTTCCTAGTTAGGTCCGAGCTTACCTTCCCCGGGCGTGGGCACAAGGACTTTGCGGAGGACGAGGTCACCTGTCTTGAACTCACGTCTTCTGACTTTGGTGTAGTAGTATTTTGTCATCCTCTGTTGCTGTGCTACCATCTTGGCATGTGCTCAGTCCCGGGCTTCCTCGATAAGGTCTAACTCTACACAAAGGTCCTCGTCGTTCTAGTCTTCATCGAAGAGCTCGGTCCAGAGGGTTGGAGAGCCAATCTCTATAGGTACCATAACTTCGGCTCCATAGGTCAGGTTGAAGGGTGTCTCTCCAGTGGCTGTACGCGGTGTAGTCCTGTATGCCCAGAGTATGCTCGGCAACTCCTCGACCCACCTTCCCTTGGCCTGATCTAACCAAGTCTTCAGGTCGTGCAATAAGGTTCGGTTGGTTACCTTGGTCTGCCCATTGCTCTGGGATCGATATACGGCGGTGGTCCGACGATTGATCTTCAAGTCGGAACAAAGGGCCTCGAACTTTCGGTCAGTGAACTGTGTCCTGTTGTTTGTGATGAGGATGCGCGGAATACCGAATCGGTAGACAATACTTTGCCAAGAAAAGTTTCGGGCATTGTACGCAGTAACGTGTGCCACAACTTCGACTTCCATCCATTTGGTGAAGTAATCCACCACCACCAGGCAGAACTTTTTCTGAGCGACCGCGGTGAGGAAGGGGCCAGGGATGTCCATCCCCCATTGTGCAAACGGCCATGGGCTAGTGATCGGCTTCAGGGGGACTACAGGCTGATGATGGAGATTGGAGTGTCGTTGTCGGCCAGAAATAACCTTACTGGAGTACCTTGTGTGCCAGGGTGCGTGCATCAAGATTGTCTCCGTAGATATCTTCATGGATCTCCCTGAGGACATAGTCTGCCTTGGATGGGGAAAGGTATTTTAGGTAGGGGAGAGTGTGTGAGCGGCAGTAAAGCTGACCTTGGATAAGGCAGTACCGAGCTAATCTATGTTAGAATCTCTTCGCTTCTGCCCGATCTTCTAGAAGTGTACCTTCTCGGAGATACTATGTGATGGGGTTCATCCGAGACGGACTGTGCTATACCGGGAGGATGAAGAGAGTTGTAATGGCTAGGCCAGTGTGTCCAACTGTGTTATCTTGCCGAGGTCGGTTTTTGGAGAGCTAGCTAACTTGGGTAGCACATTGGCTTGTATGTTCTCAGCTCAACTCGGTGAATGAGCTCTTGCACCTTCTGTAGATAGCTTGCCATTGTGGGCGTTCACATCTCAAAATGTTCGTGGGTCTAGTTGACTACCATCTAAGAATCACTGAATGCTTCTATTCTCCGAGCTCACAAGTCTAGGGTGAGGTGTAGTCCAGCGATCAAGTTCTCATACTCAGCCTCATAGTTGGATGCTTTAAACTCGAACTTGAGAGCATGCTCTAACACCGTGTCATCTGAGCTGAGGAGAATGAGGTCGGCCTTGCTGCCTTGCTGATTTGATGAGCCATCCACATGCAGGGTCCTTACTTGTGGCGGCGGGGTAGGATCCTCGGCAGGCCGGGGTGCGTATTCGATGTCAAACTCACTTAGCTCTACACTCCATTTGATCAAGTAGCCAAATGCTTCCAGCATTAAGAGAACTTGTTTGAGTGGCTGGTCAGTGAGCACTCGAATATCGTGGGCCTAAAAGTATGGCTTGAGCTTTCTGGTCGAGGAGACCAGAGCCAGATCCATTTTTCCAAGTTGGAGTACCAGGTTTCCACGCCATTAAGGAACTTGTTGGCGTAGTAGATCGACCTTTGTACCCGGTTTTCCTCCTTAACCAGCATTGAGTTGACAACCTCATCCCTGGCCAAGAGGTAGAGCAATAGCTCATCCCCTAGGCCTGGCTTGGTGAGGAGAGGCGGCGAGCTCAAGTACCGCTTCAGTTCTTGAAAGGACTGTTCGCATTCTTTGGTCCACTGGAAGTCCTTCGATCGCTTGAGGGCTTTGAAGAAGGGCAGACACCAGTCCACAAATTTGGACATGAATCTGCTAAGGGCGGCTACTCTACCAGTGAGTCGTGAGTCATTGCACATCTTTACGAGTTCAGGGTGATTGCATGTCGAGGATGACTTGTCTTTACTCTAGATTTGCCTCAATCCCCCTTTGTGTCACCATGAACCCCTGGAACTTACTCGAGTCGACCCCAAAAGCGCATTTGGTTGGGTTCAGCTTCATCTTATAATTCTTGAGGGTACCGAATACTTCATTTAGGTTGGCAAGGTGGTGCTCGGCCTTTTTGCTCTTTACAAGCATGTTGTCGACGTATGCTTTCACGTTTCGGCCGAGCTGATCCTTGAACACCTCATTCACCAGCCGCTGGTAAGTGGCAGTGGCGTTCTTTGAGGTTGAAGGGCATCACCTTGTAGCAATATAAGCCACGGTTAGTGATGAAAGTTGTTTTCTCCTGGTCATTAGGGTGCATTCGGATCTGATTGTACCCCGAAAAGGTATCCATAAAGCTCAGGAGTTCATGGCCTACCGTTGCGTCCACGAGTTGGTCGATCCTTGGTAGAGGAAAGCCGTCTTTGGCGCAGCCTTTGTTTAGGTCAGTGAATGCGATGCATATCCTCTACTTCCCATTGGCTTTCTTCACCATTACCACGTTGGCCAAACAATCAAGGTATTTGACTTCCTGAATGAAGCTAGTGTCAAGCAACTTTTGCACTTTGTCTGTGATCACACGCCATTGTTCTGTTGCGAAGCTCCTCTTCTTCTACTTGATAGGTCGATAGCGGGGGTTAGTGTTCAGGCGGTGCGTGATGACTTCGGGATCAATCCCCGGCATATCCGCCACCGACCAAGAAAACACGTCGACGTGGTCCCTTAGCACCTGCGCAAGCACTTCTCGGATGCGATCATCTAGGATAGAGTCGACCTAGACCATCCTCTCGGGGTCTTCTTCATTGAGTGGTACCCAGATGGGGTCTTCGACAGGTTGGCCGCGTTGTGCTCTCAGCTCGTCCCTTAGATCATAAACTTTTGCCATTAATGTTTCTGTGACCGGGCATGGTCCTCGGCAAGAGAGCAAGTAGCACTGCGGCGCAGTTCTTTGGTCCCCATGTGCTACCCCTATGCCATATTCGGTGGGGAACTTCATGGCGAGGTGAAATGTGGAGACCGTAGCATGCAGAGCATTAAGGGTCAGCCTACCGAGGATGGCGTTGTACGAAGAGGGGCAACGAACCACAATGAATTCCACCATGGTCGTCATAGTAATGTCACCGTCTCCGATCAGTAGGGAAAGGGTTATTCTCCCAGTGGGTAGGAGGGACTCCCCAAAGAATCCCATCAGGGGAGTGTTGACGAGGGTGAGGCGCTCTTTGTCGATGCCGAGCTTCTCAAATGCGTCCTCAAAGGGAACATCGACAAAGCTGCCTGTATCAACTAGGATCCGCCTTACCTCGAAGTTGGCAACCTCGGATGTGATTACCAAGGCATCATCATGCGGGGTCTGAACCCCCCGGAGGTCATTATCGGTGAATGTGATAGATTGGTCACGCTTCTTCTTGTGCCCCCGGTTGTCGATCTCGCACAGTAGCGCATACTTCTTGTGCCCCTTGCTACTCTCCCCTCCTACAGCGATTCTTCCTGAAATGACATGGATCACACCAGCAGAAGGGGCTCGGGGCGGTGGTCAAGCACTCTCCGTGCGTTGTTCCTCCTGTACCGGCTTCTCACTCTTGTCGACAAACCCACCGAGGTATCCGCCCCTGATTAGGTCTTCGATGTGGTTATGCATGTCGAAGAAGTTCTCCATATCGTGGCCATGATCTCTATGGAACTCGCAATACTTGTCGCGGCTCCTCTTGTTGCTTTGCATTTTCATCTTCTCAGGCCAACGAACGTAATTGCAGTCGTCAATTTGCATTAGGACTTCAAACCGCGACATATTGAGCGGCGTAGAGTTCCGATAGGTCGGTGGGGGTTTCTGTGGTTTATGATCGGGTCGATGGTCTTGCCTCTTATGGTGCTGGTCTGATCTTTCTGACTTCCGCTCCTCAGTATCTCTCATCTTTTTGTCGGACCTCTCTTTCTCATCCCTCAACTGTGTTTGCACTTCTTCTACATTGATGCACTTCTGCACATGGCTCATAAGCACAACCAGGGTTTGCAGAGGATTCTTGGAGATGGAGAAGTTGAATGGCGATGGGTGGAGGCCGTGTTGAATAGCAATGACAGCCACGGACTGGTTCAAGTTTCTGACCTGCAATGCCTCTTTTTTGAATCTCGCTAGGTAGTCCCTAAGAGATTCGTTTTTCCTCTGTCATACCTACATGAGGCTGGCCGATGTCTTTCAATGCTTTTGACTTTCTGTGAACCTTGCATGGAACTGAGTTTCCATCTGCTCCAACGACGCTATTGAGCATGGAGGCAGAGAGGAATACCAGGTTAGGGTTGGACCTGTGAGGGTGGCCACTAGGGTTTTGCACATCAGGCCCTCGAAAGATCCGTATAACATTAACTTAGCCTTCAGTGCCTCGATGTGGTTAGCGGGATCGGTGTTTCCATCGTACTTGTCAAGCGAGGTGCCCGCCATCCTGTGGGAGGTACCTCATCCACAATCTCCTGGGTGAAAGGTGGTTCCTTGGCAATGGGTGCAGCGGTTTGCGCGGGCTGATCTACAACCGGCGCCGTGCTTCTCTGGCCTTGGTTGCGCTCTAGCTCTTCCAAGCAATGTCAGAGTTCCTGAATCTCGTTATCCCTATGGTCCAGAACTGCGATGTACGTTGCCCTTTCCTTCTTGGGAAACACGGTGCGGTCTTTCATGGAGCTAGACTCAGCAACGAAGATCATGTGAGGTGGCGTTCGTCTGTCGAGCCTTTCCTTGGCGGGGATCCATGTTGTTTGGTGCGTCCTGCTGTGACAGCGGGCGGAGGGGGCCGACCTTCTTGTTGTGTCTTTCTTTTCTGGGTTGGACCGCGCTACACCCTTGTCCACCCGGCATGCTTTGGGGCATGAGGGGGGACGGTCTTGCTGGGCGGTGCCGCGGATCCTAGGTCCTACATCATTTCGAAGATCTTGTCAACCCTCTCTTGCATTGCTTTGAACTGCACAGGATCAACCGCGGCTAGAGGCTGTGGAATTTCGTTATGCAAAGGGCTGCGATGCCAAGACTCCCGAGATGTGGATTAGCCTGTTGATCGTTCAGGCTGGTTCTTGGGCATCTTGATCACTTTCGTGATTACGCGGTGAGGAATGAAGGATTTTCAGAGTCAGAAAAAAAATAATCGCCATCGAAAATCAAATATACAATTTAAGAAAAACATAAAACAAAGTGCTTCCCACAAACGGCGCCAATCTGATGCTGTTCAATCTGAGGTGGTGCACAAACTGAGGAGAGCAACTAGATAGTCCTTGCTAGCAGGGCGGGGCTGAGCTACAAGGACAAGGCCGCGCTTCAAGACCTATGATCAAGAAAGGAGAAGTCAGAGGCCAGAGGAGTTATCCCCTAGTAAGTACTCCGACGCTCAAATCAGTAGGGGGTGATAGATGGTCGGGTCGAGCTATAAGGATGTTGGTCTGAGCTAAGTAGCAGTACGGGTGTCAGAAGTTGGATCCCTTACCTTGAGCATGGGATACCTTTTTATAGCCGAAGATTCGTGTCTTGGTCGGATAGGGCTTCCGGGGTTGTCGAGATGAGGTTAGCCACCGGGGTATTCGGGATAGTCCCATTCCCTAGCGAAGTCATCTTCCTTACTCCTCTTTATCCGTAGTCGTGCTCATCTCTGTGACGTGTAGCTGACGTGGATGAAAGGATAAGATGGGGGCCATAATAATAGCATAGCTCGGCCGAGCTATGCTGACGTGGCCAAGCGATGACTAGGTGGCCACATGTCTCTCAGGACCAGCTCAGCCATGACCCGAACACATAAATATATGGATATATAGGGATTCGAATATAATGTTGGAAAGGCATGATACCAAAAAAAACTTATAACCAATCAACTAGTATTAGAGAAATGGCAACCAATTGGGTGGGTTTCCATCAAAATTCACCTGGGGTTGATTGGTCAAATCCTTTCTAGTATCACGTCTTTTTGGCATCATAGGTTTTTTAAGATATATAGATATAGGTAGATTATAAGAAGGTAGCTTTAATTTACATTTAGATGTGTTAATGCATAGGTTTCTCACGTTCCTCTCTCCCATCTACACATCCATCAACCAATATATAAATATAAAAGTGGCCATATCCACTTGAGTATGCCACTAGTAATTAAGCACGTGTGTATGAATTTTTTTCGTATTAATTACTTGAATTTTAGATAAATCATAGTTAAGATAGAAATTGAAAAATAATAAAAGTAACAATATGATTAAAAATAAACTTAAATACTTGTACTGAATATACACCTACAGAAATTTTAAATTACAATAACAATTATTATTATTATTATTATTATTATCATCATCATCATCATCATCATCATCATCATCATCACTACTACTACTATTACTACTACTACTACTACTGCTACTATTACTACTAAATTTTGTATTCCATTTCTATCTTAAATAAAAATATTTTTTATTTTAACAATTATTTTTATTTAATATGATGACTATATAGCATTCAAAATGTTTCGAAATGTCTTTGACAAAACTATGTACTATTTTGTTCTTTGTGTTCTATCCTTTTAAAATATTTATTATTCAATTATGACATCAAGAGTTTCTTTGAAAAGTTGGATCATTGACCCACCATTTAGATAACAAAATAGCTTTGCTTTTAGATCACTTTTAAATTATATATTTCATCAATATTATATAAATAATTTTTACTTATCACACTTGATTTTTGTTTGACATAATTAATATATCATTTTTTATATATTCTTTTGATTACATTATATCTTATGTATAATATTTATTTTTGTGATTCTTTGTATTTTCTATTTTTAAAAATTTTATTATCATTTCTAGGATGATTTTAATTTTGGCATTCCATTTTCATCATTTATAAAGATACTTCTTACATTTCATACTTATTTTTGTTCAGTATAATGAATATACAATATTAGTGACATGCCTAGTTATTTTTATTTTTTGTATTATATATTTTATTATTTAATTATGACATTATTTATTAACGCATTTGACCCAATATGGTTGAATTGCTTATCCACCACGAGAGGGAAGAAAATGGTTTTGTTTTCAAATTATTTTTTGAAATATTTATTTTTTGCATTATTAAAATTAATGTTGTGGATTTAGTTAGTAGAATTTCATGATGAGAAAAATATATCTTAAATATAGGATTTAATAAGAGAATATACCTTGGATATGAGATTTAATGAGAGGTAATAGGAAAATAGTTTTACTTCAAAATTCCAATTGGTTTTAAATTTTACATTCCATTTCCATCATTAATAAAAACATTTCTTATTTATCATCAATGTTTTTAACCTATTGTTGACTTGGCTAATTAAACCGTTCAAACCGTCACTCGCGATCAGCTTTGATTCTGGATTTGATTCTGTTGAAACTCCATGTTTCAGTTAAAAGTCATCTAACCCAGGTGGTTCAACCATTGACTTGTTTAACCCAATAAGCAAGTCGTAGGATGCACACTTAATTATGTGCAAACTTTTTGAAGCCATAACTTTTCACTTTGATGTCCAATTAGGGTTATCTTTTTTTGTTTATTTTAAGTAGCTTTTCAAGATCTATACGTCCTAAAGGGCCTTAGGCCCCTTTTTTGGCCCCAAATTGCATTTTTTAATTTTTTTATAAATAAAAAATTAAAAATTGGATTAAAAATTTTAAATAAATATAACATAATACATATATTATATGTAATTAATGTATATAAAATATAATTATACTATTTATTGATAAAATTTGCATTTTTTACACACACACACATAGTGTTGACACAGAGCGGTTTGACTCATTGACCTTGATAATCGAACCGATGACCTATGACCTGAAAAACGGGTTGGCCTCCAGGTCAGTTTTTAAAACATTGTATATCATACTTATTATTGTTTAATATGTCAAATATATGATTTTTAAAACGTTCTCAATTTTTTTAATTTCTTTATTTTTTTTGGATTTTATATATTTTTGAATTTTATTATTTAATTGTGGCAACATGGATTTGCTCATTTGACCAAAATGGTTTAATTTCTTAAAACCACCTACATGAAAACACTATTTTTTCCAGGTAGATTTTAAAAGTATAAGTTTTTATGTTATTGAAATTATTAATTTATTATGTATGGATTTAATTATAGAATTTAATGATGAGAAGAAACAAAAAAGCCTTAAATATATGATTCAATGAAGGTGAATGCAAATTAATACCTTAAATGTTAGATTTAATGTGAGAGAATTGAATGCATTGAATATCTTAAAATGACATCTTTTCAGCTCATTTAATACAATAACCAATTACTCTATTTTCTCTCATTTTTTATCAATAAATTTAAATATAAAGAGATAAATTTTGTCCTCAAAAATTCTAAAAATATTCTTGAGGCTATTCGTACTTTTTAAAAAAGTATAGATATAAATATTTTGCAATAAGAGTTGAGACATTCCTTCTCCACACTTGTGGAGATTCCTTATATTTCATGATGATAATAACTTTAGACAAATTATTCTTTTCTTTTTGTGTGTGGGTGGGTGGGTAGGGGGCGCTAGGCTTAGGGCCTAAAAGCATCAAAATCCACTGCAATTCCTTTAAATTAATTATTATTTCTTTGATTCGGGAATGGCTGGCTGGTTGAGGATATAGGAAGTCCATTTATAAGAAAGAAAAGCCCAAATTGGTAGATACAAATTAGATATGTATTATCTGGACCCATGTCAATACTCAACACTTTGTGGCATAAAATCCCTCTCCAAAAGTTTGTAATCAATTCAGAATCATTATTAAAAAGAAAAGCAAAGTGGGCTTAAAAAAAAAAAATTCAGAATCATTCGGGCCATTGATTAAATTAAATACCATGATTCTCTATGGTAAAGAAGTCATGAATCTAAATACAATAATACATAGAAATAATAATATGTATATTTACAACTGTATTATGTAGAATCTATGTATGAGATGAAGAATAATCATGAGTTTAGATATATGAAATGATTTAAACGGAACTTTATCACTGAATAATGGCTGGAAACCAAACGTTCTTCAACATTCATTGATTGAAAACTTCAGACAATGAACGAAATTACTGCAATTTCTTTTTTTTTTTTTTTCAATTTCAAGCTAATGAACGAATCCAATTAATGGTACGTAATACAATAAAAATGTTCACATCCAGTCCAATCGAAGGTGGACATTTATGCAAATGGATATAATTCAATCCAATCAACCCATTGGGATGGGATGGTTTGGACAAACCAAAATTTAAGTAGAAAAGTACCGAAAAGGTTTGCCATTCATTGATTCACCTACCTCTCTCTTTCTCTCTCCCTCCAGAATTCTTCTTTCCATTAGGGTATATACTTATTGTATAGTTATTGAATTAATCAAACCCAACTAATAATTAGTAATAACTTTTGGTTTCAATCCGATCTAATTTGATTAATAGCTAATTGGGCATCCAAACAAATTTAATTGGATTGGATTAGAGTAGCATCATCCATTAACAACCCTTACCACTATGGTTAAGTAAAATAAATAAATTAAAAAAAAACAATACCACTATATATGGTTTGGTTGAAACTAGATGGTTTGACGCGCACCACATCCCATGAGACATTTTCTTGATTTTTTTTGGCCTCATTTGTTTTCAGGGAAGTGGGGGGCAGTTAAGTTGGTGGGTCTTAAAGGAAAAGAAATAAACATGTGTTTGTATTTTGGTATTAATGGGTCATATGCATAAAAAATGATTTCTGAGTGGCTCATTTACCTGGACAAATAATACCCTTCTAAGATTTGGGTAAATCATTTGCCCATTCGTACAAAGAATTATTAATATGTGATGGGATAATATTGTCTCTTTAATAATGTCACTTTTTTTGGATAAAATGGTCACTGCACAATTTTATTTGGGGAATAAAAAAATACCGGTAAGTGCACATATCTGGGGGGCAAGTTTCCTAGGGAACTTTGCCCGGATAAGTGCATTTACTCAAATAAATGACTTATTGAAATACGAACTAGCCCTTATCATAGGTGCAAATCCTAAACCAACCCAACCCAACCCATATGATCACCCTAGTGATGTTTCCACATATATGCCATGTTTCCATGCATTCAAATATTGATATGCTACACGCTATCTTATGTGTGTTTTGTTAATATATTGAATCTTGATTAGAACCATGGATTGGCCTTTTAAATATTGTGACCCTTTTGTTCAATCACCACTGACAATCAACTTAAAATCACACTTTATATTATCTTTTCTAAACATATAATTTTAAGTGCCCAACACATCCTTTTGTATATTTATTTTTATTTTTATTATTTGATTATGATATCATAGGTTGATCCATTTGACTTTGATGGTTGAATTGCATAATTGTCACATGGACAAAGTAGTAGTAATGTTATTGGATTAATTTAAAATAACATGGGTTTTATATTGCTAAAAGTATTAGAAATAGATGTAATTAATAGAATATGTTGTTGAGAAAAAATACCATAAATGTAAGATTTAATGAGAAAGAATGGGAATTAATAGCTTAAATATAAGACTTTCTTTTTTGCTATTGCTTAAATAAAAGACTTAATGAGAGAGAATTAAATGTGGTGAAAAGTGGTAGTTGAAACTAAAAGTAATTGTTAATTGTTATACATCACACTTATTTTTCATTTGGTTGTTTTTAAATTTGTGCTTAATTTCCATCACTAATAAAAACAATTATAGTTTATCATACTTAGTTTCTAATACTATTAATATAAACTATCAAAGATGTGCCTGATTTTATTTATGTTTAATTTATTATTTAACTATGACATAATGGGTTGATCCATTTGACCTGAATGGTTGAATTGCTTACAACATAATAATGGTTTTGTTTTTTGTGTAGTTTCAAAAAATATAGGTTTTATTGTTAAATAAAAGCATTGGATATAAATATAATTAATAAAATTTATTAGTGAGAAAAATGCCATAAGTATAAAATTTAATGAGAGGGAATGAGGGTTAATACCTTAGCAAGGTTCAAAATATCGATACAGGGCGATAAGCCAGTAGGGCGTATCAGCCTATATCAGTACTATTTTTTTTTATTTTTTTCAAAATTGGTTTAGAGGGGCAGATTTAAGGACGGTTCACCCCTTGAACCACTCGTCAACCCAAAACACCCCCTGTAGGGACATATCGGGAAGGCTCCGATATGATACGTATTAGCAATACGCGATGAAATTTTTATCATTGTATCTTAGATATAAAGATTCAATGAGAGGGAATTAATGATGTGAAAGATAAGGTGGTAGGGGGTTAAAATTACATTTCTAGGCATACTAAACTAAAAAATAAGAATTTGTCAAAACAGTAATATAGATTTATTAATTAATTTGGATTGAATATTTTGTTTTTGGGCAAATTTCTTAAACTACATTTATGGTTTTGACTATTGTCTAATGCTGCCCTTATTGTTTCGGAAAATTACCATTACTGTTAAAATATTAATAGAAGGGCTGAAATGCCCGTTTAGCCCTTAGGTCAAATTGAAAGCTCCTCTAGTTCTTCATCTTCCTTGGTTTGTCTTCACTGCCCAGGTCCAGATTAGGGTTCCTTCACCTGAGTTGAGGTGGGCAGGTACAGAGGAGCTCTGAACATATGCAAAACAACACCAGCCCCCTCCCTCCCTCTCTCTCTCTCTCTCTCCCCCTTGTTTCATCACCGTCGTTGTTGCAAGTTGCAATGGCGGCAATGGACCCCTCCACATCAGGCATCTCTCTCTCTCTCTCTTTCTCTCTCTCTCTCTCTCTCTCTCTCTCTCTCTCTCTCTCCGTCCCCTTCGTTCATTCTCTCTTCGTCCCCTTTGTTCTCTCTCCCTCTTGCCATTGTTTCATCCCCACCGCTGCTGCAAAGTGGCGAGCCCCTCCACATCCGACCTCTCTCACTATCCCCTTCGTTCTCTCTCCCTCTCGCCCTTGTTTCATCACCACCACTGCTGCAAAGTGGCGGACCCCTCCACATCTCACCTCTCTCTCCATCTCCTCCATTCTCTCTCACTCTCGCCCTTGTTTCATCACCACCGACCCCTCCACATCCATGCTTGAACCCTATAGTGTGGAGTTGTCTCTATAGGGAGTTGTCTTTGGTGAGATTGATGATTGGAGAGAACCAACGAAAAGAGGGATAACTCTTTTTGCTGCCAAGACGAATTTTCTCTTCACCACAAAGTGGAGCTTCTAGGTTTTCATTGGCAGATTGGCAGGAGGTGGTGGTGGCTCTCTTGAAGAAGATTGTGAACGAGGAGGAGAAAAATAAGGAGGGAGAGGGAGATGGATGAAGGGTAAAATTGGGTTAAAAAATTATATGAAGGGTAAAATTGGATTAAAAAATTATATGAAGGGTAGAGCTAGTAAGTTGTCAAGACACATTAGGGGTAGCATTAGACAATAGTCAAACAATAGAGGTATATCAATTAGGTAAACGATAAGGCTAGTTTAAAAAATTTACCCTTTATTTTTAAATAGTAATTGTTTTTAGCCAAAAATAGAGTTATTGGGTTTTTTGAGTAGAACATTTGGATCAAATTCCATATCAGTTGATTTTTTCTATTCAAAAAGTTCATACGAGTTATTTTTGATATATGTTTTATGGTAAATAAATGGATATCTAATTTTCAAAGTTATTTTTGATGTATTTTGATCATGCTGATATAAGATATTGTACTGATACTGATTCTCCTGTCGATCCCATGGGGTCGTTTTTTTTTTTTTTTTTGTGAAGCAATCCCATCGAATTTTTTTAGGAAACAATCCCATCGAAATTTGATTTACCAAAAGAATATCCCATCGAAATCCGACAGATAAAGATTCGATTCGAATCTCTAAATAAGCGCTAAAACGAATCTAATTTGTATTTACCTATATTCGCTTCGATCCGATGATCTTGCAGGCTCAATTTCTATTTTGTAAAAAGAAAGATAATTCATCCATGATCGTTGGTCGTGTTCGTAATTCCTGTTATTGGGCGGGGCAGTTCTTTAACTTCACCCTCAAAACCTAATAATGATTTTCGTCCGCATCAGACAGATAGATCATAGATCCATTCCTCTTTCGCCCATCCATTCCTCTTTCGCCCAAGGCCCCAAGTTCCCAACCCCTTCCCTAAAAAGAAAATAAAAAAAGGAAAAAAAGGAAAAAAAAATGGGGGCGTAAAGGAGATACCTCCTTTCAAAACAGACGTCGGACCAACAAATCCGTACTTCCCGCCACTCAGAAGTCACCGTCGCCGGGCTATCTAACCGGAAAGTTATCGGTTGATGAACCGCGGGCGTCTCAGATCAGGAAAACGAAACCGTTTTCTTATCTGACTCAGCCCTCCCCATTTAAATATCTGATCGCACAGAGAGATACTACTTGACCACACCGGCTACTGGTTATTCCCTCAAATCACGGTTTTTCTGATCACGGTCTAGTTACATTCGGGTACAGATCGTGCGCTCGCTGGGTTTCTGATTTGTGGACTAGAAACTCGTCGACCTCCTCCGAGTTGTCCTATATATGTAGTGGTAATTTAGGTTTGGATTTTGGACTTGAAGAATTTTGCTGGGAATAAGAGTTGTGCATGGGCGATTCGACCTTGATTCCTATGTCGTTTCTTCTGAATAGTACGATGAATGAGCTGATTGTGCAGAATTGGTGGACTTATTAGTAGAAACGATGTGTTTTCTCGAAATTAATGATTGATTTTTTTCCCGGTTGTATAGGTTTTGTTGATCTGCAGCAAGTGACGATTTCTTTTTGAGCTTAAGGAGTTGATTCTGGCTCTTTAGTTGGATTTTGGAATTTTTGGAGGTTTTGACCATGAGGTGGGTGATCATTTGCTGCTTCTGAGTATTTGGACGAGGCAGCGATGTCGAAGGTCATTTATGAAGGGTGGATGGTCCGATATGGACGAAGGAAGATTGGGCGTTCCTACATCCATATGCGGTATTTCGTTCTCGAATCTCGTCTTCTCGCTTATTACAAGAAGAAACCACAAGATAATGTGGTAGGTCTATTGCCTTCTACTTCTCTCATACCTTTTTCCCCCGAAATTAAGCTATGTAGGATCCCTTTAAGTTTGTTTGATTTATCTTATTCTCAGGAACTGTTGCTCTGTTTTTTTTTTTTTTTTCCCCTTAATTTCTGAAATATGAGTCAGTATATCTTGGGATCTTACTCTTTCTTTTTTGAGGGAAAAAATTTACAAATACATGCAAACCCAGGTCTAGGAAACAAAGCAATTGTAGTGGATTTCTTTTATTCTTGTAATGGTTTACTTCCTATGGTTGACCCTACCTATCATCCATATTATGAGTTTACGACTATGATCTTCTCTGAACACTTTTTAGGTTCCAATCAAGACCCTTCTTATTGATGGCAATTGTAGGGTGGAGGATCGAGGCCTGAAGACACACCATGGGCATGTAAGTTTATTTTGTCTTCTTAATCCTTATTAATAAAAACTGCATGATCTGTAAGAGAAGGCTGTTCTTGGTCTATTTGTACCTCTTTGAAGCCAATTACAAATAGTATTTTATTTTATTTTATTTTTTTGAGAAAGGTAACTATAAATTTCATTGAAACATGTCCAGAAAATGAATGTGGTAGAAATGTGAATGCTAAGATGGATGGGTGGAAAACTATAAAGGATAGGATTAGGAATGAAGTTATCCATAGGAACCTAGGAGTAGCTCCAATAGGTGACAAAATGAGAGAGAATGGATTAAGATGGTTTGGGCACGTGCATAGAAGACCACCAATTGTGCCAGTTAGAAGAAGTGGTTTGTTACACATTGAAGGGGCTAGAAGAGCTTGGGGCAGACCAAAAAGGACATGGGTAGAAGTAATAAGAAATGATTTAAGCACTAATAATTTAACAGTGGATATGTTCTGAGGTTCTTTCAACCATTTAAATTTCTTCATTTTATTACTGTAGCATCAAATGGCAGACTCCGGTTCTTTCAACCAACCTACCACCAATTTAGAATTACCTTCAATCATCAAATTTTCCAAATTCAGCTCATTGTGCAATTTCTTGCAACACTGCAAACAATTTAGTCCTAATAAAGTCTCTCACTCACAATAGTGCAAAGAATATGGCAATGACATGTCTTTCTATATCTCTCATAACCCCTCAACTCTAGAGGGACCTGGATTGCCTTGGTTGCTCCCATCAATGTTCAGTTTCACAAATCCTTCCAGAGGGGGCTTCCACATTGAAATTGCTTTTTTCCTTTCTTGAAGTGCTTCTTGCCACCACATGCCAATTTCTCCAAAAGTCCTCAAAGGAGAATTTGGAGATAGTATCCCAAGTTTTAACCTAGCGGATTACCCTAGTTATCAAACATTCTTTCACCGCTTCCTTATTCTTTCCTAAGATTCTTGCATTCTTTTTTTCCAAGATAGTCCAAATCAAAGTTGCTCTTATGTATTTCCACATGATTCTTCCTCTTTTCTTAGGCCACATGAAAGTTGATAGATCAAAGAGATGATTCACCTCTGTTGGCAAATTCCATCAGCACCCAAATAAAGAAAACAACCATTCCCAAATATCTGCAGTAAATGGGCAAGATATTAGTAAGTGGTAACAACTCTCACCATTGTATTTGCAAAGACTACACCAGTTTGGGGATAAACATAGAAATTGTTTTCCTTTTTGCAAGGTGTTGAAGGTGCTAACCTTCTTGTGACACACTTCCAACAAACTTGTTCCCAAATTTCTCTAGCTATATCAAGAAAAATAAGATTATTTTTGATTTTGAGGTTCTGTTGGGGAGGGATGAAGCTTTGGTTGTGCTGACAACAAATTTTGGGCTTTCCAGTCTTTTCACCAAACATTACTTATATGCTTTTGGAGTGGGGCTCACCTCACAAAGCCAAAAGCTAGAACAGGAAAGACCTCCAAATAGGTTTTGCTGATCTCAGGAGACTGCCATTGAGAGCCAAAGACAGGCATAAAATGGTTTCAAGAGAGACTTTTCTTGCCATATGCTTATCAAGAGAGATTTTTCTGTATCTTTTAATTGCAATGGTTTGTATTTTACTGCTGTAGGTTTATTTATTACTATTTGGAGGTTTTTTTTTGTGGTTTTATGGATTGTAGCATTGGTAACTGATTGGAATTACATTCAATTACACCAATAGAAATTGATTATCTTTTTTTTTCCTAACTTATGACATTGTCTAACCTGGATATTTTATCAGCTATTTTCTTCATTCAAATCTCATCACCTACTTCATACCAGCAGTGATTGAATTCTAGACCATAGTTTACTGTTAGGTGTCCCCTTCTTGACAACAAATCCATTGATGTAGATTTTCTTATTTGTCTGTAGCTATGGTCTTCTCTAGTTCTCTTCATCAGTTCCTTTTTGATCATTAACTTTCTTTGTCTTTAACAGATGGTCTATGTTTTGTCTGTTTACAACAAGAAGGAGAAGTACCATCGGATTACGGTGTGTGATCTTTACTTTCTCTTTATGGAAATCTAAACCAAGCTATTCCTTTTTCTCTGTTATTTCCTTGTTTCTATTAGGTATTAATGCATTATTTGTGTCCTAGTTTCAATATAAGCATGTGTTTATCCAATGGTCAAGTTGGAACAGAGTTTGAGATGACAAGAGAGGCTTAGTTTACTTACCTTTAAAATTTAGAGTTGAAGTGGATTGGCATTGTTGTTTGGGAATGGCAATAAGTTTATTCCACATGCACTTGCAATAGAAGATCGTATGGAATTTGCCCACCTACAGAATTCAAATCAGAGTTATTCTTTGAAAATCTTTCCTTCCATATATTAACAAAAAAATATTTCCTTCTGGAGGCTGCTAAATTTCAAATTGAATATTTTTTTTATGGGTTGTCAAACTTTTTTCCAAGGGAGCAACTCTATACTATGATTTTTAAATTTCATTAGTGTAACCTTTTAGGAGATTTAAACTATTTATATTCAATTGAATAATCTTGATTAAATTTGCATCTGTTCCAACTTCCAAAGTAACTAATACAAACCTGAGGTGATTGCTTTAAGCCATAAATTGACTTCTGAAGCTTGCATGCCTTCCCTTGACTATTAGGAAAACAAACTCTTGGTAGTAATCATATAAACTTCCTCTTGCAAATGACCATTGAGGAAGACATTTTTAACATCCATATGATGCAATGGTCATGAAGAATGAGTTGTAAGAGAGAAATAAAGCGAACAGAATTCATCTTTGCAACAGGTGCAAAGGTCTCTTGATCATCACAAAGTCTGTATACAAGGCCAAGTTTGGGGGTGCTTATTTGAAAAATAAGTGCTTATTTCTAATAAGCACTTGTGAGCATTTGGTGAAAAAGCACTTATTTTAAACAGGGGTAATAGAGGTATTTTTAAAATGACATGGTGGGCCAAGATAGGCTAGAAAGGAAATAAGCACTTAAAAATAAGCCCAAAATTTGGGCTTCTCAACGGGCTTATTTTCCAAATGCAAATAAATGCTTATTGGTGTGGTCCCAGCCCAAAATAAGTTATTCGAATAAGTCATCCCAAACTTAGCCTAACTCTTACTAACCCTGTTTTATACCATACCTTTGACCGGATCCATCAACCTTATGCTTTGTAGTGTACAGCCATCTGCAACCAATAGGAACATACCCTTTGGGAAGCTCAATTAACTCCTATATCTGATTCTTAGTAAATGCATCCATCTCTTGAGTCATTGCCTCCTTATACTGAGATACCTGCATTGCCTCTGTAATAGCGTGTGGAGTGAACACATAGGATATAATAGAAACAAAGGCATGGGGGAATCATGAGAGACATAATTGGAGATGGGATAAGCAACACAAGCAGAGGAAGTCTTGGTACATTGGCTTCTTCCTTTACAGGCAACAATAGGTAGGTCAAGATTATCAACATTAGTATGAGATGAATTACGAGAAAAACCAGGGAAGGTTGATTACCTAAACTAAGGGCTTCAGATTGAGGTGGCTGATTAGTCTCTAGTGTTACCTTCTTTCCTCTAGAATACAACTGTAAATTTAGGACATCAACTAATTGAGGTGTAGAAATAGGGCTACTCACATCACTTTTGATCTGAACAGGATAAAATTAACACACTTCATTGAAACTTCCCCCCTGAATAGAGGTCAGGTAAGAAAAGAAAGGGGTAGACTTGAGAAAAGTAACATCTTTTGACACAACATTCCGAACTTAGGATAAAAAATTTGATTACCCTTCTGCGTTGAGGAATACCCAAGGAAAAAACATCAAAGAGCTTTGGGATCAAACTTTTCCCTATTTGGACTAAAGCCATGAACAAAACATACACAACCAAGCACTGTTAAGGGTAAATGAAGGGGTGCTCAACTTGACATAGAAGCTTATGTGGAACTGAAGTTGGAATGTTGGTGATGGCAATCTGTTGATAAGTATACAATAATCTACATTGCGTCTTCCTAGAAATGTACTGGAACATGCATCTGGAAGAGTAGACTTCTGACAACCTCATAATGTGTCTATTCTTCTTTTCTGCAACTCCATTGTGCTGAGGTGTAATTTTAAAGGTGTGCCTAGGCGCACAGCGAGGTGCATTTTAGGGTATGTGCCTCACCTAGGTCCTAGATGCAGCACTTTCAAAAGGCACGTGCCTGGTGTGGGCCAGGGGCTACGAGCCGCCTTTGTAGCAAATTTGTGCATTTCCGCTTCCCAGATTTCATCTCTTTCGAGGAAGCCATCTCCAGGAACAACTTTGATTAAGCAACAATAGAAGGCATGTGCACAAACAGTCTAGAACTGTCAATGGGTTGGGTGTACCCAATAGAATCAGGCTGAACTGATTATACCAATTCTGGTTCTGAGTTTTGTGTCCTGATTATTATCGGGTTGGGACTAGTTTTTGCTTTTCAAAACCAAATAAGACCCAAAATATAATGTCTCATGGTTTTTTTTTGTAATTCTTTGTTACACTTCATGTCCAAAAGGTTTAAATTTCATAGGCAGTATGTAAAATAATTTTAGTTAATGGCACTTGTTTTGTTAACATATAAACTGGTTTACTATTTACTGTCTACCTATTAAGGTTATATTATAAAAAATGAAGTTTCAAATTGTTATTTTACAGTTTATTATAGAAACCAAATGTAATGGGTCCAATTGGGCAAGGCCCGAGTATCCCAATTAATAACCAGTTCACTTTTTGGTCTGGTTTTATAGAATCTATATGTTATGATTTGGGACTGGGTCCACCCTGTGCCAGAGCAGAACTGATCCATTGACAGCCGTAGTCTTCACAAACCAGCTGATTGATATTAAAAAATTTGTCACAGCATAAGAGGCACACACAATGACCAAATAGCATGGGACCTCTTATGGTTTCCCAAAAGATCATACGCACCAGACAATACCAGCCAATCCCATTAAAAACTGACATGCAGAATCAACCAATCCAGGTGATCAAAACTGGATTTTTCTCAATTTATCATGTGAATAATATATAAAATATCAAGTATTCATCCAATCAAGGGGCCATTACGTGGTATAATGGTAAAATCATGGGCTGTCAAGTGTGAAAACGCGGGTTTGAGTCTGAGAGCGGCCATTTTGTGCAGAAAAATGCCCAAAGCAAGGATTGTAGCCAGATTCTAGTCCATTCTTCCCTAGAGCAAGACCATAGATAGTTGGGACTAACATTGGATAATAGCTCTTTATTCATCCAATCAGTTGAAAACATATAACAAAAAGAATCCTAAAATCAGGGCCTACTATAAAATCAGAGCAAGACCATAGATGTCAGAACTCAGACATTATGGCCTACTGGCTGAATGGCATGAACTCTTTGCTCTGATACCAAGATGTTGTTTGAACACACCAAATCAGTGATTGATCTAATAGTTTTTTTTTTTTTTTTATATGAACATGACTAGTATGTGGAGAGTAGAGATTCAAGAAGAATGTAACAAGGTGTAGTGTTCTATCTTGCATTACATGCCCTATTCTCTTAATACATAGGGCATGTGATGCAAGATAGAACACTTCACCTTGTTACATTCTTCTTCAATCTCTGCTCTTTACATATTAGTCATATTCACATGCTCTATTCTCTTGATACCTATGATAATAAGCTCTAGGAAATAATTAACACTTGTGATCTTCTTCAAAGAAAAAAGGCTTTTTTGGTACTTTTCCCCTAACTGGTGCATTCTTTGCAAGGCCAATGGTGAGTCATGCTACCACCTACTAATCTTCTGCCCCTTTGTTTCTTCTATTTGGGTTTGGTTTTTTCTCTGTTTGGCCGCAGGTGGACCCCCACCAAACATGCAAAGAGTGAGGCACAAGAGCTGCAGTTTTCTGGATAGTTTGGGAGGAAAGAAACCAAAGAATTTTTGTAGAAAAGGAGAGAAATAGAGGGGTAATTATTGAGGTGATTATTGGGTCCAATTGTAATTTTGTGCTGTTTTTGTCTTTTAAAGAGTGAGGCTGCACCTTGCGCCTCCCCTTGGGATGCTTGTAACAGACATTTATCTTTTTGCTGATAATGAATTTTAATGAACTTTTATCTATAAAAAAAATATTGAGGTGGTTACTGCTAGGGTGGTTCATTGGATAAAACCAGTGAACCCATTTGATGATGTTGAGTTGGTCTGGTTTGTTTTTATTTAGTTAGGAAGTTGTTGGGCTTTAGGCCCATTAGTTTATGTTTTTTTAAGTTGTGACTGTTCAGCTTTTAGTAGCCGCCCTACTAAGGGCATCCTTGTAATATCTCATCTTTTTAAGTTAAGTATAAATATAATGAGAGGGGGGCGGCTAGGGTTTATTTCACAATCCTGGTTGACTTTCTACTCTCTTCTTCTTCTCCTTTCTTCTCTACTGCTGAAATCTTCATCTTCCCCCTCTTTCCTTCACAAGAAACTCGACTAAATTTGTAATTAGTGATCTGTACTCGGTATCAGAGCAGGCCGAAGGTTCCTTGAAGTTGTTCTCTCATGCAGCCCTAGATCGGCCGACTGCATGGTGATTTAAGAGGTTGATCGAAGCCCTCAGGTAAGCCCAGTTTTTGGATTTTTTTTGGTGGATCTGTGTGCCCTGTAGTTGGTCTAGGGTTTCTCATCAAAATCAGGAAAAACTGGAGAAAGGGGAAGAGTCCTGTTTCTGTTGGACTCTTCAATTTTGAACTAGGAAGTGGCGCCCTAATTTTTTAGGGTTCCTTGGAGTTTTTTGTAAGGGGTGATTCAAGTCCTACCTGATTTGGAGGCTTCTAGAGAGGGCAATTGCCTCTTCTCTCTCTTCTCCCGTCCTATAGAAAAGGAATCTTTTGTGGGAAGAAAGTCTAGGACACCAGAAAGGTGTTGTTGGTTCCAAAAGGTGTTTTGTTTGATCTTGCTGCAAATTTCAGTTATTTTCTTTACATTTTTTGAGAAGCATGGAGGGCCACGAAGTTGAAAATAAGCCTGGGAGTGAAATGGGACCAGTAGGAGG